CAATGTACTAGGAGATGGGCAATGTACTAAGGGATGGTCAATGTACTGAGAGATGGTCAATGTACTGAGAGATGGTCAATGTACTGAGAGATGGTCAATGTACTGAGAGATGGTCAATGTACTGAGAGACGGTCAATGTACTGAGAGACGGTCAATGTACTGAGAGACGGTCAATGTACTGAGAGACGGTCAATGTACTGAGAGACGGTCAATATACTGAGAAATGGTCAATATACTGAGTTATGGTCAATGTACAGAGAGATGGTCACAGTATGGAGAGATGGTCAATGTACTAAGGGATGGTCAATGTACTAAGGGATGGTCAATGTACTAGGAGATGGTCAATGTACTGAGAGATGGTCAATGTACTAAGAGATGGTCAATGTACTAAGAGATGGTCAATGTACTAGGAGATGGTCAATGTACTAGGAGATGGTCAATGTACTGAGAGGCAGTCAATGTACTGAGAGACGGTCAATGTACTGAGAGACGGTCAATGTACTGAGACACGGTCAATGTACTGAGACACGGTCAATACACTGAAAGATGGTCAATGTACTGAGAGACGGTCTAGGTACTGAGAGACGGTCAATGTACTGAGAGACGGTCAATGTACTGAGAGACAGTCAATGTACTGAGAGACAGTCAATGTACTGAGAGACAGTCAATGTACTGAGAGACAGTCAATGTACTGAGAGACAGTCAATGTACTGAGAGACAGTCAATGTACTGAAAGATGGTCACAGTACTAAGAGATGATCACTGTACTGAGAGACAGTCAATGTACTGAAAGATGGTCACAGTACTAAGAGATGATCACTGTACTGAGAGACAGTCAATGTATTGAGAGATGATCACAGTACGGAAAGAAGGTCATTCTACAGAGAGGTGGTCACTGTACTGAGCGATGATCACTAACAAAAATAAACTAATCAAAGAAAGCTTAGAAAGAACTCCCATGTGCTGAGAGTATTGGAGACACATTAAATATAATTCGAAATTACTTAGCTGAAAACTAATTATGCAAATCAGAAAATTAATATGACCAGATTTGAGTGTAAAACT